ACGAATCGCGGTCAGGTCGAACGTCATGCTTCACCTTCGAGTATATCTCGTGCACATCCTTTAAATGCATCCTGAAGTGATTCTGGGCGACTCGAAGCTGCGTCCGCACTCTCTTCAACGTTCTGTGCACGCTGTGCCGCTGTGGCATTCTCTTGAACTGCATCGCTACTGGATTACCGCACGGTTGCAACCACCGGTCCATATTATTCGAGTTGGATACGGCAGTGCGAAGGCCGTAAGCAGGTGCACCAGAAACCGTATTGAGGCCTGAACTCAGGAAGAATGCGAGGCTCGTGAAAGTAATTGTCTGTGCCACCGAATCTGTAATACAATCAAAATAACTGGTGTCAGAAAGATATATCACCTTGTGTACACATTTTCCACGTGGACTTGTCGAAAATTCGGAAAACAATCTTGAAATATTTTGTGGATTCTCCGTTTTCCCTTTTTATAAGAGTTTAACCCTTTCGCTACGAAGGGTGCATACACACGCTCTGTAAAAGTGGACACTCGTTTATGAGGAGCGTACAGATACGCCCGTCTAATACGTACAATTTATTGCCGTACTTTACAGGTACAATATTGCTGTCCACTGGAAAATCAGGCAACGACAGAATTTGACTATCGTAAAACAGTTTTTTTTTGATTTTTTTGATAGCTTTGAATAATAATTGTTTCGTTTAGTAAACAGTGAGCACTTTTTGTCTTCAGCGTGTCGTAGCGAAAGGGTTAATGTCGCATCAACTGCATAAGGTTATTAGCGACACTGTTGAGGATTGGTTGTAACTTGAAATCAGATGCTGTTACGATACAGTCCAATATCTTTTAGAATTAGAAGGTCTAATATAGTTTTTGTGATCCTAAAGTTTATGTTTTAGAGAGTGACATAAATAATGCTTAACTCAGTAGCTTGAAAATTTAAGAGAATATAATATTTAGTTTACTAATTTAGTTAAATTAGAAAATTTAGAGAATACAGTTTTATAGTAATAGATATATTCCAATGATCGCATATTGCAGGATTTGGCTTGATAGTGAGACAAGGGTGTGTGATTCTACGTAGAATGGCTGATCTTAAGTCTATCGATTATGTTCTGTTCCTTTCGAGTCAGTTTTCAGCAGTGTAGAATGCCTCTCGTAGATTCTTGTTCTTCGAGTATTCAGTAGGCTTTGTCTTCGTAATGAGGTGAGCGAGTATGATTTCAGAGTGGCTACTCTTAATTCTATTAATTATGCTCTATTCCCTTCGAGTCGATTTTGAGAAACGAATGTCTACTCTGAAATATCTCTTTTACAGATTCTTGCTGTTTGAGTATCTATCCAATAAAACAATCGATACACAAATTGAATGATTTAATTTCAATTTAGGTTATGCGTCACGACATTCACAAATCTGAACGCAACGCATTGTTAATGAAATCGCCGGTCACTTCGATTTTGAAACACAGCACCACCGGGTCATGTAATAAAGATTGCATTACACCGATGACGTACGTACTCGTTTCGTTGTCTGTTTTGTCTCTGAATAGAAATGACTCGGTACAAACGATTGCGAAAATTCTCTTTCGACTAGAGGTGGTGGCGGTGGTGGTATGTTCAGTTTTACAGAAGAACACATTTTTTAACGGAACGTTCGAAACGGCCTGTCATCGATATATCCATAATACCGACAAAGAGAGTAGAGAGATTGTGATTGAAGAAACGTGGCATGTCGTTTCCATGCCGGAGGATGTGATAAAGAGATTGCAAAGAGAGAAAGAGACGAAAAGGG